CGAATTTTTTTCAAACCGATATCGAGTCATACATGGATTGACTCGAACTGACTCGAGATCGGCTCGTAGTTTTTTAATTTATAAAAATTATATGTATAATCCAAGTAAAATTGAATATAAAAAATCACGAGCCAATTTCAAGCAGATTTCAGCTGGAACGAATCCAAATAACTCAATATGAGCCAATTACTTTCAATTCTAAGCCGGACTGAGCCAATTTTGAGCAGAAACGAATCCAAATAACTCAATTTGAGCCAGCTCGTTTCAATTTCAAGTCGGATCAAGCTCGATTCAATTTTAAGTCGGTTCAACTCAAAATCGAATATAATGTGCGAAAAGCCAATCAGATCATTAAGAGCCCTAACTATAGGATGGTTGGTATCGCTGTTTTAAAGGAATGGTAGGAGAATGGTAGACTATTGAGTGTGTAATGGATGATGTTTCCGATGGGAGAGCCGATCTAACAGATAAAATGACATCTACATTGGATTTGATGGTCGACAAATACAAAGTCGTGGTTTGATCTTTCATTGACAGGTTGAAAAGTTCTTTTCTAAGTTGAATGATGCAAGAATGATTGGTGGATTGAAAGCGACGTTCAATGGTTAGCCAAATGTTTTGACAGGAGTCCAGATTGAGAACATAGGGGAAAATGAGAGGAGAAATGGTGGAGAAGATGGCTATGTCCAGGTTCTGATTGACCAAGAGCCATAGATCATGGTCAAGTTTTGGTTGAAATGTGTCATCAAGGGCGGTGAGAAATGGAGTAGGACATGGTGTGGATCCATTAAAATAACCATCGAAGCCGTTCGCTCTAAATAATTTCATAATTTAAGATTTTTAAATTGGGAGGTCTTCAGGAGTGAGTTATATGTTGATAACGGTTATAATGGTTTTAATTCCACTGATGAAAAATTTTAGTTGGGGTGGGATGGTAGTGTTTATTGATGGGTTGAGAGATGTTGGCCCTTTTGTTTATGGAATTTCTTGATATAACGACTGCAGGGGAATTTGTGTGCTAGAATTTGTAGTTTTCTGTATGAATGGAGGTGGATTATAGATGGCCTTTCAGCAAGAGCTCTAATTCCATGTGAAAAGGCATAGAAAGAGGCAAGAAAGTGCAAGAATATTTGCTAAAAAATTGACTATATTTCAATATGTTGCATTTGTGCATATTAAGCACTTCTACATTACTGTGCTTATATAGGATTTTGTATACAATGTTTGTTTTGGTGTTAGTTATGTCGCACAAGTGCGGTGTACTATGCAATCCATGTGGAATGACTGCGGTTATCAATTATGTTATCACATTTCCTTGCAAAAATACTACTGCATTAAAGTTAAACAAAAGAACAATATATAAGAAAATAATTTCTTGTGGATTTCCAAAATGTGTCAAATAAAGAGAACTTACATCTCAAACCTAAGGATAAACCAACAAGATACTTGAAAACACTAAGTCGATCAACTTTAACATGGAAAAAGGGAGTAAGAAATACCAATTTAAGGGCATATTTGCATTTTTCTTCACCAAATCAAATGAATGAAAGAAAAGATTGGAGAAATAACATGGATGGATGGAGTAAGAAGTTATCCATCTTCTAGTAAGAATACTCAAACACAAAGCTAGTTATCTTTGTAAACTATTTCTTATTAAAAAAGTTACATTACAATAAAAAATTAGAATTTAGTGGTTGTTTGACACATCATAAACTAGTTGTCATTTTTTAATGTAAATTTTAGTTGCCACTCTTATCAGACATGTTACGACCTAGAATAAACACATTTTTTAACAAAATGGGGCATGGTTCAATACTCAAAGCTAGGGCCCACAAGAAATAAAAAATAGGGGAGTTGTCCTAAGTAGATATATTTTGTATCCTACTCAATGTTGCGACTCAAAGACGAAGACAAAGCCACAATACTCAAAAAAGCCGAAGACGAAGACATTCTTTGTTTTGAAGGCGAGCTACAGTCTAAAATGAATACACATTCCCACATCGCACAATCTCACCCTAGCTGACGAAGACGCAACCCCACCTCACACCGCATCTCACCTTTGTGTCGTGTTTCACCATCTCCTTCTAAGTCAAAAGCATATCCCCCTTCGAACTTGAACATTAAAGCATTTTCTCCACACATAACTAACTAAAACCTAGGATATATCGCCAAAGTTGAAGGTAAGAAATTATCAGGATTTTTCTCTTCATTTCTTTAGTTGATCTGTCTTGACCACATTGAAATATTTCATTCATTTATTCTATTTTTAGTTCTAACAGGTTCTTGCCCTAGTGCCCCAGGCAGCTATCTATGTGCCTGCAAATTTTCTTTGAAGTTGAAGGTAATGAAATGCATACTGTTTTCATTTCCAGTGCTAATTTTCAAACGTTGCTTTCGTTTTGTTTTGGAATAATTATATTAATATATA